CACCCCCCGGGAGTGCCGGAGGCTCCGCGCCCGTGGAGGGGTCACGTTGCCTTCTCTCTCATCTGCCCTGGTCCTCCTTGCTGTCTGGATAGTGCTGCCCTCCCCTGTCCCATGTCTTTGGGGTCACTTGTCAGTCTTTTTGTTGTTGTTTTTTTTATATATTAAAGCACCCGGCCCAATCCCCACTGCCCACCCTCATCCTGCACTGCGGTTAATTTATCTGTCGTTATAGATGCGGCTGCTCTGCTTCCAGCCTCTGCTTCTGCAGTTTCCCCAATTAAACATGAAGGCCCCTCAAAAAAAAAAAAAAAAAAATCTTACACCTAATGGATGAGGACAGTCGGGGGGGGGGGGGGGGGAAGGGGACGGGGGGGGGGGGATGGGGGGGAATCGTGGAAGGGGAGCTATGGGGGGGAAAAAGAGGAACATCTGTAATAATCTGAACAATAAAGATTTATTTTTAAAAAGAGCAAATGAAGGTATTCAAATTGCAGGCAGTGATCAGTGGGAGGTGGAAATTGCAAAGAAAATAAAGAAGTGGTCATTTTGCAGATTAAATAATCATTTATTTAAAAGCTTCTTTGATTCATTTAACTGAATCATTTTTCCTTTCAATATAAACTGAAAAAGGAGGTAAAATTCTGTCAGTTGGAAATCAACTTAAAATTCAGCTTAGCCCTGCCACAGTGGCTCAGTTGATTGGAATGTTGTCCTGTACTTAAAAAATCTGCAGATTTGATTCCCAGTTAAGACACATACCTAGGTTGCGGGTTTGATCCTGGGTTGAAGCACATATGGGAGGCAACCAATTGATGTTTCTTTCTCACATTGCTCTCTCCCTTTCTCTCTTAAAAAAATCAATAAAATCTATTTTTTTTAAAGAATTTAGAACATGAAAAAATATTTAGTATAAAAGCTCATCACAGTTTGTTACAATATCAAATTGCTGAAAACAATCTAAATGTTCAGTAGTAGTACAGACAGGTTAAATTATGATAAGACTTAAAAAAGGATACTATTCAGACATTAAAATGATTTTGCAGAAACTTACTTTCAAATGATTCAGCAAAAAGAATGTGTGTGTGTATGTAACAGACAACACAAGAATAATGGAGAAATTGTGAACAAAGAGCAAATGTGGCAAAATGACGTGATGAAGTTAGAAACTATGAAAGGCCTGAGATTTTTACTTTACTTGCAAGCTAACAAGTTGTCCTCCCCCAATGCTCCCCCCTCTCCACACACAAACATTTTTTGGCAGCAGTGTCCAGATTCTTGTCCCCGGAGACCATGGCTGCCAATTCTTGTAGCCTTCCTTCTGAAGAACAGCCTCGGGGTGGGGTGTTCTCTCCATCCCACCCAAGCGCCAGCTGCCTGTGATGGGGAGCTGGCTTCTCCACCCAGGCCTCTCACTCAGGAACTGTCCTCTTCTTTAGAAGAACATCCTGGGAGATGGATGAGCAGGCCAGGGCTGATTGAGGTGTGTGGAGTGTGGAGTTTCCCAGGAAGGGAAGCAGGGCGTAGCTGGAGCCTTCAGGGTGCAATTTTGTCTCGTGAATATGTGTGTGTTTGTGTGTGTGTGTGTGTGTGTGTGTGTTTGTGTGTGAGTTTGGGTCATGGCAAAAGCAGCTGCCAGAGCAACATCTTATGTTGGTTTCTAAGCCCCACATACAGGGTAATATAGCAGATGGGTTACATTACAACAGAGGAACCCTGAAATTAGGGAACTTTGATCTTATGACTGTTAGTAACTTACCTATCCTCCCTTTATTCTACAACTAGAGGACTAGGGAGGGAAATATGTCTAGGCTTTACTGCCCTGGATTAGCTCTGTAGGGCAGGAAAAAGCCCTTTCTGCTATCTTCTTTGGTAGCTGGGGTCCTGCAAATTGAAATGACAAAACAGAGATTTAATAGGAGAGTAAGTTTGAGTTTATATGCACTCGGGGGGTGGGGGGAGAGGGGGGAGACAAGAGAGTCACAGAAATAAAGGGAAAGCTACAACGAGGTGGTCATACCTAGAGGCTTGTATATCATCTTAATAAAGAGCAATAAATTGGTCAAGAGATCACAAGACAAAGGAAAGGGGGTTTAGGTTTTTACTGGTAGTAAATTGTGGGAAGATAAATATATGGAGAAAACTAAAGGGAATTAAGGGTTATTTTCAGTGAAGTTTGTGATGTCTGGGTGCCCTCTCTGGGCTGGGAAGTTTGGCGTCACGTCTGGTGATTACAAGTTGTTCTGTTCTTCCTGGTATGAGAGAGAGATGGGGAACACACAAAGGGAAATTTATGTCCTGCTTTTAGGCAAATAGGGGGAGGATAGAGAGCTTTTTCTGCATCTGCTGTTTCTCAGTTGCCTTCAGCTTAAAATAGTCCTTATGCCAAAGTGGCATATTTTGGGTGGCACATTCTGATCCCCTTCAACTCCTTATACAAACATTCTTAAATTGGTTTTAAATGCTTTCGATCAGAGACCTGAACTGTGTGGAAAGACGTTCATAGGGAATCATCTCCCAACAGTAGTTCTACTGTACATGAAGGGTTTAAGGATCTTTATTGATCTGTTCTATCAAACACTCTAAGTTTGAAAAAATTTTAAATAAAACATTGGCAAAATAATAATCCAGAGATATATTAAACATGGAAATTTTTAGAATACAGTATATTACCGTATTTTCCGGAGTATAAGACGACCCCCTAATTTTACAGTTAAAACAAGGTTTAGGCCTATATTCGCTGTATAAGACTACCCCCCCACTTCTGAGGCAACGCCAGTTCTTTTTTTAATAGACCCCCTCTCTGACTCTGGCCAGTCTGAGCAGGCTTTTTACTAGAGCACAGTGTAGCTTCAGGTACAGAACATATATAATTTGCATGCATAAAAAGCCTGCTTGGATTGGCTGGGTTAGAGCAGCCTTGCAGTGATTGGTGTGGGATCGAGTTGGAAAATTCGTTTAGCGGCATATCCAGACGATTTTCGGGATCTACTTGGCGTATAAGATGATCCCTGATTTTCGGTTGACTTTTTTTCGTTTCAAAAGTCGTCTTATATGCCGAAAAATACGGTAAGTAGAAGAGTAGATTATTCATATAGTAAGACCTTGATTTTATAATAGTTAGGTATGAGTGTGTATAACTACAGCGAAAAGAAAATCTGGAAGGGGTTTTATATTATTAGTGTTTATCTTTGGTTGAATAAGAGCATAGGGTTTTTGTAATTATTATTGTTCTTTTTGCTTATATGTATTTTTCTTTTTCTCCTATGAGTGGTTTTGTGAGTAAAATTTTTTCTTTAACTTTATAAAAACTAGAATCCCTTTCTGTCTTCTAGTGGGGGTATCAGTGACTCTCACTCCGAATCTTGGATATACTTAAACTGCCCTAAAAAGGGGGGAGGCAAGAGGGTGAGAGAAAGAGAAAGAAAGCACAGGGGAGTAAAGAGAAGAGACCCAGGAGAAGAGATAAGTCTGGGAGGATTTTTCAAGTGAAATGCTGATCAATATAAACTCCCTTATTTACCTTCCTTACAAAATCAGTAAATTCTCTGATGTTTTTGTATGAACGGAACTTCTGGAAGCTCAAAGAAAAGGAAGAGGAGACAATAGTAATATGGGTTACATTTTGGGTGCTGCCTGGGATTTTCAAACTAAAGCACGCTGCCTCAATATATTTAGGATTAAATCATTACCTAGAATAGTGGTTCTCACACTCTTAGAAAGTATTGCATTGAGGACTATAAAGAGCTTTTATGTATTTATTTATTTATTTACTTATTTATTTTTGTTAATCCTCACCCAATGATATTTTTCTCCATTGATTTTTAGAGGGAGGTGGAGAGAGAGAGAGATAAAAACAACCATGTGAGAGAGACACATCGATTGGTTGTCTCCTGCACCCAGGTTGCCAGGATTGAACTTGCAACCGAGATACATGCTCTTGACTGAGATGGAACCCAGGACCCTTCAGCCACAGGCTGGCACTCTAACCACTGAGCAAAACTGGCCAGGACAAGAGCTTTTATTTATGTAAGTTATAACTATTTGATATTATCCATATTTCTAATGTTTAAGAGATTTAGGATACCAGAGAATAGGTTAATTTGTAATTCAAATTTAAAGTACAAATTGTGGCATATTCTTTCTCTCTCTTGAGTACTTTTCGCTCTTCTTCACCCAGGCACCCTCATCTGCCTCTTTTTCCCAATTTCCAAGTTTCCTCAGTGCTTCTGCGACTCCTTTTCTGAGTACAGGCTCCCTTTTTCTATTTGCGTGACTTCCCAATAAAATTTCTCCTATAATTTGAAAAAAATAAAAATGTATACATTGTGTTACTGATTTAGATTTGAATTCAAAGTTTAACTCTTACTAAATTTATAAACAGTATTGGACCATTAAAAAGAAGTTAAATTCCATTGTGTTTATACATTTAATTTATTTATGAGACTTATTTTACTTGAGAAGGTATTTGCTAGTGACTTTTCTTGGGAAGTTTTGTTATAATTGAAGAAATGAAAATGAAATGTGTTTATTACATTTATGAAATGTAATAAAGGAATTAATTAGAGCAAAAAATGAATATTACATCTTGGTAGATTTATAAATCTACCAAATCAGATCTGGGAATTAAATTTAAAAGTTTAAGGACTAGGCTTTAAAATTTGCAACATGAACAGGTAAAATAGTAATTTTAAAAAACCAGAGTAGTTTCTAAATAATCTTTTATGTGCACAAAATCGCACCCAAATGCCTAAAATAGCCATATCGACAAATTTATGAGAATCAGATTGTTTTATTGAGAAATTCCTACATATGTGTGGGCTAATTTTCCAAGAAAAAAAAAATCCTCCAATCTCCTGCACCTGCAGAAACAACCTGCAGCTACAGGGGTGGCTTCACGGGAGCATAATTTACGTAATCGCACTGAGAGAGAACGCACATTTGTTGTGATGCTCTGCTGTCACTATATTGAAATTTTTAATACTTTTTAAAACAAGAAGCCTGTGCTCGCTTCGGCAGCGCATATACTGAAATTGGAACGATACAGAGAAGATTACCATAGCCCCTGCTAAAAAATCACACGCAAATTTGTGAAGTGTTCCATAGTTAAAAAAATAAAATGAAACAAGAAGCCCTGCATTCTCATTGTGCACTGACCCTGCAAATTCTGTAGCCAGTCCTGCTTGGCAGTCAGCGCTCTGGCAGCCACACGGTGGGAGAGGACTGAAGGCTCTTTATGTGGCTCCCTCCTCCTCCACATCTCCCACCCTCGGTTGTGCCTGTTGTCCACCAGTCCACCGCCTCGCTAGTGTAATTTTAAGAGATCCCCTTTCCTGCCAGGCTGGAGTGGGACTGCTAGAGGCCACGTGGGCTAAAAGAGAAGGTGGAGGGGGGGTTGGCCTACTCCCTCTGCTTTTGGCAAGTTCTGTGATAGGACTGAGCCTGCTTTCTGAGGCTTTCTTCTCTGTGGACATTTGCAAAGTGGAAAACTTTAAACACAATTAATTACCAATTATTCTTTTGCCAAATTTTGTCAATTCAAGTCTGCCTCTCTCATTCTGTGCTCTTGTGGGTTTATGCCTTTTCTTCCTGTAGTTTCTTCTTCCTTCCTTCCTTCCTTCCTGCCTGCCTTCCTTCCTTCCTTCCTTCCTTCCTTCCTTCCTTCCTTCCTTCCTTCCCTTCCTTCCTTCCTTCTTCCTTCCTTCCTTCCTTCCTTCCTTCCTTCCTTCCTTCCTTCCTTCCTTCCTTCCTTCCTTCCTTCTTTGTTCCTTTCTTTCTTTCTTTTTTTAAAATATATTTTGTTGACTTTTTACAGAGAGAGGAAGGGAGAGGGATAGAGAGTTAGAAACATCCATGAGAGAGAAACATGGATCAGCTGCCTCCTGCACACTCCCCACTGGGTATGTGCCTGCAACCAAGAAACATGCCCTTGACCGGAATCGAACCTGGGATCTTTCAGTCTGCAGGCCTATGCTCTATCCACTGAGCAAAACCGGTTTTGGCTGTTCCTGTAGTTTCATTTTAGTGAGGTTTTGGGAGACAGGAGATAAATGCAAGTGTCCAATCTGCCATGTATGTCCACTAGTCTCAATTGTTTCCATAGAAACAACTAGTCTTTTTTTTTTTTTTTTTTGGCACCCATTTTTGTTGGTTTATATAATACTTAGTTAAATTATGTAATTACAATTATAAGTAGAACTAGCATAAATAAATTTCAGAACAAACCCAATTGACACTTGCTTTGTAAATATACAACTCAGTTAATGAGAACAGAAGTGTGTGGGCTTCAGTTAATTTATTTTACAGAGGAAATGAAAAGTGTGGTTAAGTGGGGCAAGTTGACTTAAATGGAGATTTACTGAACTTACACATTAATTGAATATAAGACACTCATAAAGAGGGTGCATTATTGAAAGTTGAACAATTTGGCTCCTTGGACAACCAGTTTAACTTTAAAGAAGCTTATGTGTCTTTAAAAACTCGAACAAACAAATGCTTTTCTAGGATCAGGCAATTCTCTGCACTTTGACCATGGATATTACTGATGTGTTCAGATGACCTCCTGGACTATGGACCCTTCTCTGTCCTAACTCCTAATTGTCCCACCCTACCTCTGCCTTGCGCTCCTAGTTGGATGTTTGACCTGATTTGACCTTAGAGATCTTGGTGTGAGGCCCAGCTGTTTTGGCTCAGTGGATAGAGGATCAGCCTGCATTCTGAAGGACCCCGGGTTAGATTCCAGTCAAGGGGCATGTGCCCGAGTTGCAGGCTTGACCCTCCCCAATAGGTGTGTGAGGAAGGCAGCCTGATCAATGCTTCTCTCTCATCACTGATGTTTCTATCTCTCCCTTCCTCTGAAATAAAAATATACTTTAAAAAGATGGTTTGCATCAGTGAACCGATACCTTGCATTTTCTTTGAGGCTCCTTCATAGATAGGCACCTGGTTTCCTCCAGTCTCTTCTTTAGGGCAAAACTGACTTGCCTTTTTATTGGCTTCCTTTGTAGGATGTCAGTTTTCAGGTTCTCTGCTCTGACTCAGTTACCCACTCTCCTGTGTGCTTTCCATCTTCCAAGCTTCTGATATTTTTTATCTGTCCTCTAAAGGGTTTATAGCTTTAAAAAGTATTATTCCCTTACTCTCCATTTAATGGAGGTTCTGAAAGGAACAGAGGTTCAGGTTTGGCCTTCTCTCTGTGTGATAACTTCCCATTCTCTAAACTCTTGATCTGGTTCTCTAGAAAACAGGACCCTCCATTTTTGAGCTTTCTAGACAATCTAAAAACGATATCTATCCAGCCTTTTCCTGAGACTGCATAGCAGAGCTCTCTTTGATCCGTGGTTAATATGCAGTCAGAAAGAAGTCAATGTGAATTAGCTTTTGTAAATATCAATTAAAAACCAGGGAACTTTCGGGGGTAAAGACCAAGTGCGATTAGTTTAAAGTCAAGTTTACCTGAAAAATTTCCTCTTGACTGGAAAATAAGACTCATAAGGTCAGATGAGCTTTTTTCCCTTTGGGTCTGATGAAAAGTACTCAACAGCTGGGAGTTAAAAATTTCCACTAGAACAAGAGGGCACTTGTAGCCTTTCCTAAACTCACGCAGTTATTTTTTGTGTAATTGCATGGATACTTTCAGTTTCAAAAGTCATTTATTTGGAGGCGGGTGGAATTTAAAGGATTCTTTCCATCTTTCATTATATAAAAGTATCTTTTTCATAGATCTCTTTTATTTCTGCAGAAGTATAACCAGTTCCTTGAGCATCATCAGAGGATGTTTGACTTATCTTAGCATCTCTGGGTACCAGAATGAATAGGGGCTTTCTATAAGGATGAGGTAGCATGCACGAGCTCATTTCATTTTTATAACAACCTGTCAGGGGGGAACTATTTAGAGTAACTATTGCTATTCTAATTTTATGCTGAGGAAACTGAGGCATAGGCTATACAGTTCCATGTAAGATAAGGTAAAATTTGTGGAGTTTTTCATTTCCTTAGTCTATCTGGAACAGTGCTGTCTGATGGAACTATACAGAAAGTTCTAACCTGTGCTGTCCAAGAAGGTAGCCAGGTGTCAGTCACACATGACTACTGAACACTTGGAATGTGGCTAATGCAACTGAGGAACTGAATTCTAAATTTTATTTATTTTAATTAAATGGCTACTTGTGATTCATGGTTACCATATTGGTCAGAACAGACCGGGGAATACAGTGAATATTATAACAGCATAGTCTAGATTCTGATGCAACCACAAAGAACCCTAGATTCTTTGTCATTTATAAGGATAAAAGGTACAATTGGAACTGATTCTACTTGGCTGATTAACCAGGTTAGCTAGATCCTACTCTAGCAATAATCGCGCCTCGGATACACCTCATTGGCTACGATACTGCCACTGCGCAAAGCTAGATCCTACTCTAGTATCTTGCAGGATTTTCCTTCAATGAACAGGTGAAGGGCTTTCTGGAGAGAGAGATCTGGGGCTTCAGGGACCTTCCCAAATAGATTACATGACTGCTCGCTAGAAACGTTTGATTGATTTAGCCAGAGGCTATCTTTCACTGTAAAATAGCAGCTGGAGCAAGGCTGTGGAGAAGCCCTATCGCTCAATCGATGTCTTGACTATTGGCAGCTACAAACGTCTGTCTGGAAGAAGCTAATAAACATGAATGACCAAAGTGACAGGTTAATTTGTAACCTCCTTCTTTCTTAGTTATATCCAACCGGAATAATCTAGTCCTAGAGAGTCAAATGATGTGAAGATTTAGTATACAGTTCTGTGTGGTCACTACTGGGACTATAGTCTCTTACATGAAGCCCTCCCTGCAATGTGTGAGCAGTTAGAACATCAGCAAGGACTATGGGCTAAAATTTCAAACAACCAGTAGTTAGAAATTTAAATGTTTTGTCTCCAAGCACCATAGATCTCCTGGATATTTCCAATTCCAATGGGAAGGAAGTTATGATCAAAGCCACCGAAGTTAAAATGATTGTTGCTCCAAGGACGGCCCCTCCCCTTCCTCTTGGTTCACTGTCAAGGAAATTGCATCCCAGCAACCCTGTCTCTCCTCTGCATCTATCTCATATGTCCCCACTGGGTGCTCCCCTATCTCAAATAAGCTCCAAGTTCCAAACGCACAGGAGACTTTTGCCCTAGGTTGTTGTTTCATATCACAGGTTATCTGCTTGTGAATTGCAGGCCTATTGAGATTTTGTGGTGAGAAGCACAGAACTGGTTGTTTAAAATTTTCTTAAAAAGTGGGGGGAAAAAAATAGGGGCAATGGTAAGATATGTACACTGACAATAATTTAATAAAATTTTTTAAAAAGTGAAAAAATATATCTCTTATATAAAAGGCCTGTGACTGTCATGCCATCATGGCCAAACAAGCAGTGGCTCTCGTGGCTGCTGGGGCGTGGCATGAGCTCCTAGCTGCAGAGAGCTACTAGCGGCAGAGGGTGGGGCGCAAGCTATGAGCGGTGATGGGTGGGGTGGCCAGCTGAGGCGAGCGGAAGTGAGCTACTTGCACATGATTTTGTGCAAGGCGGGCCTCTAGTCTGAATATAATTAATGCAGAACAATAAGTATTGAGCTTACATTATCCAATACAATTGATGATGCTATAGACCAGTGTTTCTCAAAGTGTGGTACGCGTACCCCCAGGGGTACGGGAAGAGTTTGGTGGGGATATGCACTGCACCGTGCTTAGCTGAGCCTAATTCTATGTTCTCATGAGTACGAGGGGTACTCAGCATTACGGAAATTATAGAAGGGGTACACATATGTCAAAAGTTTGGGAAACACTGCATAGACAATACTCCCTTCGCAGTAATTTGAAAAGTGATATGTACAGTTAAGGTAAAATTTGTGGAGTTTTTCATTTCCTCAGTCTATCTGGAACAGTGCTGTCTGATGGAACTATACAGAAAGTTCTAACCTGTGCTGTCCAAGAAGGTAGCTAGGTGTCAGTCACACATGACTACTGAACACTTGGAATGTGGCTAATGCAACTGAGGAACTGAATTTTAAATTTTATTTATTTTAATTAAATGGCTACTTGTGATTCATGGTTACCATATTGGTCAGAACAGACCGGAGATACAGTG